ACGATTTGGATCTAGCCATTCATGGCTTCATTCAATTATTAATTTGATCACGCAATTAACATCTTCATCCGGTGTGATCTTGTCTGTTAGTTTAAACCATAAAGAATTAGACGGATAAGTCAGCCGCTGTGCTGTCGTTCAATCATTAGCAATAGCAATGATTGTGCAGTAACATATTCATTGCTAATGATTTTTGCGATTGAACAAGGTAAATATGAGGCCACCACCGTAGCGCCACCATGCGGTTTTGATTTAATACATTCTTCAAATTAATTATTAAAGTGTTTATTGTAGCAGATTTTCTTAAAGAAATCATCAAAAATCAAATATAAATTCAAAATTTTACATAATATAAAAATGTTTATAATTTAACTTTTAAATTAAATAAATTTAATTAAAATCAATAATGAATTAATTTAATATATATATAGATATATATATTTCTATATAAATCTATTTTAAATAACATATATATTTAATATCTTAATCTTATATTTAATTGAAAATACTTAAGATTTAAATTTAATTAATTAGTTATGTATCTAATTTTTAGAAACATTTTAAAGCCTTATTATGATATAATTAAAATTATATTTAATATTAATTTATGTTAAATTATATTAATATATACTAAATCATTAAAATATTAATAAATAATTAAAAATTAAATTTAATCAAAAGGTATTCTATCAAAATTTTGTAATTAACTAATGACAACCTTCAAATTCAAAATATATTAATTTCCTAAAATTCATTTCAAATGTAAAATTTTAATTTATTCTTAAATAATCTTAGTATTTATTTTAAAATATTAATTCATGTTTAATTGGATTTATTTAAATAAAATATTTTCAAACATTAAAGAGTTTTATTTAAAATATTTCAAGATAATTGAGAGTCCCCATTTTAAGAAATATTTAATTTGAAATTCTAAAATTAATTTAAGAATATATTTTATGTATTTTAACGTAAAATTTGAATTGATTAAAATATGTATTATATTTAATTAATTTTAATTAAATTAAATTTCAAATATTTAAAATTTTTAAGAAAATATTTTAATATTTAAATTCCAAAAACATTTAAGAGTATATTTGATTCCATTAAGAATTATTTTAATAATTAATAATTTTAAATTTATTCTAAATATTTTTTTAACTTAAACAAATTTAAAATTTAAAGAATTCAAATTAAATCTAGAAAATATATGTAATATATTAAAAAAATTAAAAATTAATTATATTATTTTAAAATTATATATATGTTAAATTTTTTAATATTAAGAGAACCCATGGAATTTTAAGGATAGATGGAGCTACTTGAATAGAATTTATGGGTGATGATTATTGGAAAATCATATCTTGATTGTTCACTAATTTTGTCTTTTATTATATTTCTTATATTTAATACTTTCATGCTTAGGATAAACACACATACACCTTGCGTAGGCTCTCCTAGTTCTAAGGACATGATGGTGCTTGTGTATGTGTAATTATGATTATTCAAGGGTTAGTTAAAACATCATTTTGAACCTAATAATTAAGGACCCTTTTCTAGAAAACTTAGATTAATTTTAAAAATTAGGATACACTTCTTATTGACATGAAATTTGAAAAATTTAAACATAGCGTTATTCTCAACCCATAAAAATTTTTTCACTGATTTTAAAAATAACTAAGTCCCTTAATTAATTAACTTAATGTTAAACCCTTAATTAACCCTCAAAACTTCCAAAATTTTTAATAAAATTAAATTAAATAAAAAAATTACATATA